GGATGACGGACCGCATATGGTGATCTCTTTTTGGAATGGCTGAATCACCGAAAGGTTATTCAGTGCCAAACATAGAGTGTTACCTTCCGAAAGGTGAGCGGGTTGCTGGTGAAACACAAACGTTTACAAATTAGGTTGACGGAAGCCATCATTTGTGCCTGAGCTGTCTTCAATTAGAGATGTTTCTCGAACAAAGACGGCCCTGTAAGAAAGCACACAGCTCTCATGGATTGCCCTGAGCAGTAGTAACTACACTGTGACTATTTTCCGTTAGGTCATATCGATTTATCGGGTGACCCTAATAAAGAGAACAGCCCCCATTTGGAACCAGTGTGTGACCCTCGGTAAGCGGCTCAACTATGAATCTGACATGACATTTCGAAGATGAATTTAGCAAAGCACACCCAAGAGTAACTGCAATAGATTCAACTCAAAGATGGCTGAATACTAAGAGATGCTCTGTCGAAGAAAAAACTCATTCGTGTGTCTTTTTTTCAAATATTTGTTTCATATTTCCCAACAGTACTTTGTGTATACTGCACACACAGACTATTCCAGGCAGTAGTGCTCGCCTCAGATTTGAACGATCTAACCACATAAAGGAAGACTGTGATATGATGAAACAACTTTAATCGTGATTAGTGATGAGCAACAAGAGTGTTATTCATCTAGTCTTTTACCTATTGTTTCACGAAAAACCCACGTCAACATAACCATAGTTTTAGCAAGAAATGTAGCCCGATCAAACATGTATTCATTGATTCTGGCGTCAATTAATTCCATTCTATCAAATGACCTCACCAAACATATGATGTTTTGGGGCGAAAGACAACATTTTCTCACGTTTTCTCGGTGTTTTCTACTCCTGTCATTCAGATCACATCACCTGCGTGCACTAAATCAGTTTCGTAGGTGAAACCAAGTTGGAGAGCTTTTGTCAATCAATAATAAAATGAAACCTTGGAGATGAATAGCTGGTGAAAAGATGCTCCTGACGGATCGGATGCATTTAGAGCCTTGTTATTTTGCCCAAATCTATTCTTACGACTGAAACACGCAGAAGAATTTGGTTCGTTCTAGGTGCATGTGCGTGCATGCGTGTGTGTGTGTACGAAAGAAGGCCGACCTAACTTTTTCGCGCAGTCTGTGAGGTGTATCGCCAGAAAAGTAGGTGAGACAACTGCGTTAAAACATGGAACTCCACTCCACTTCGCGGTAACTGATGCCGGACGGATTCGGTCCCATGGTTTAATTCTCACCTGCAAAAAAGGTTTGGTCATGTAAAGTAAATAAGAGCTTTATGCTCACAAATTACAGCACAAGTGAAAAATCACATGGAAACCTGAGTGAGTAAACTCTATGCCGAGATCAACAAGACCAAAGTGGGTAATGTCCGACTTCTATAAAGACAGCTCCGTTAATGAGGAATTTGTCTATCCGGGAGGCAATGCGGTACAAGCATAGAATTTCGACCGAGTGCTGGAATCGGAAGCGGTGTTGGCTGAAAAAAGGACAGAAGGCATGTTGAGCATTCAATAAAATCCTCAGAGATGGATCTTGACACGAACTTTACAAGTACAACCCTTGATACTCTGTTGTACATAGAGGCTTGTTTTTGGGACGCACCACTAAGGCAAAATCACTAACAAGTAGTCTACGAAAGACAACTGATCACCTTATGAGTAGTGCATTGCGAACACACATGTATCGCGATATCTCGAAAATCGCAGCAGCTGATACATGAGGCGGCCTAGTACATTCGGTTGCCAGGAAACATCACAAATGGGAGATTCAGCTGGGTTCCAGGTGAGTCTCTCGCAAAACTAAATTTGTTTGTAAATGAGTGTATTTCACCAAATCAAACTACGTTCGTAGAATTGTCAAAGACTCTCGATAATAGCAGGTCACTTGCCTCTACACGCTTCCCCCAAATGACGTTCCACTTAGTGAGTAGGTTTACGAGTAGGGAGGAAATCGAATTTTATATTTCCGAAAACAAAAATTGAGCAGTTTTGGCACCAGTAATCACACGGCCTTTTGGAAGGCACCGTTATGTTTATTCATTACACAGACGAGTATTCTACAGGGTTACTAGTAAACGGAATTCTTCTTGCGTGTTGGCTTGAAGAGTAAATCCGTTCGCATAGCACGGTTAAGTGAATGCATGAATCCAAAAAAAGTCCGGCGCGTGCGGCGACACTGCGTAGCAACATCGCGCAAGCAAACGAAACTAACTTGTGAGAGTTCAGAAATGCTCAAAGTATGACAGACAGAAGCTCAGATTTTAGGATGTACATCAAGAAAAACACTCAGCTGCAAGTGATCGTGGCCGTAACGGGGGGCTCAACAGAATCGCAGCCATGTCTCAGCGAAAGCTTTCTGCCTCAGTTAAAAGTGATGTGTGTCCAATTATGGTGACACGTTTCAGTTGAAATGATATTCAAGTATCTTCTTGAGAGAAACTGCTCATAAGGTCACTGAAAATTCTTGGACAGCCCCCGACCGGCTTCTTTGGGTTCATCAGATAGATGCAGCACCCAAGGTTACCTCAACCTCACGTTCTACTTGAGAACAAATTGTACGAAATTTGTGACCTACACAGCCTTTTTTCTAGGAGTCTCAATATTATCCAAACTAGATCTCTCGTTTTTCGATATTCTTCAACCAAGGCCACTCCATGTTTCAGTTTGTACGATAGTCTGAGATGTCACAGTGCACCAGTGAGTGTATTTTGGAATACTGAACTATTTTTCTCGATAAACTGCTATTAATTATGAAGGTGTTAAACCATGGAAGGGCCCTTGTGAAGCACAGTCAATCGAAGTCCCTTAAACTAGAATTCAATCAAATCCTCACTGTTAATGTATTGATTTCACAGATGAGGGTTTATCCGCACGTATAACCATTTTGATCATCACGTGTGGAGTGGACTGATTCAAGACCGATGCCTACCAGCTGAGTTCGTGAAAGGCGGCAAGGGAATGTCCAGGCGCATTCATCGACCTGTTAAGTAGTATCATATTATGGCGAGGTTATATAATTTGTGAAGTGACAGCTAATTGCTCAGTTAGCATATCTGACAAATAAGCTAAGAAATACTGCGATTGGACACACTGAAACATTCACTGGAACCAATGCCATGAGTCATCCGGACTGTGGAGGTGAGCTGACTATCCAGCTTTCAGTTGTAACCGAATTTCTGACCAAGCTCCGCATGCGTGGATCCGAAGGCTGAGGCTCTAGAGAGAGTCGTTCTAGGTCTCACGTGGCGTATCACTTTTCTACCAGTGGTCGTTTCAACTTGATACTTTATAGACTACCATGTGTTGCAAAACAGCGTCCAAACCGCGGTCTTCACAGCTGAACCCATGTTAATGTGTGCTGGCTCGAACAGTGTGACCAATCAGAATGAATAATTTTTGACTACTCACGAGTAGTCACGTCATCCTCTACATCATTAAAAAAACAGATCAGACCAAGAATCGCACCTGCGCAAGTGGTTAAAAATGTGTTATGGAAAATGAATTGGTTCTGTTTACAGCATCACATTTTACTACTGTGCCTCAGAAGCCTACCAGACGATTGCTAGAATATGACCATTACAAAGTCCCGACGAATTTGGATTCACGCTGGCCAATCATCTGGTGTTCAGCCCGACTACTTCGATTCTGAGACTTATCTTGATGCCATAAAACCGCCCAATCGGATTGGTTGATACAAGACGAGCCCCCATATGCCAGTCACCACTACCCCCTCAGTCTTGCCGACAGCATTTATACGGTTTTTTATGTTCCCCAAGTTTCACAATCCGTAGCAAGAATCGTATGCCAGCACCACGGACCGTTTCTATATTATGCGTCGTGTTTATGCCTTATCGTTGTCGTTCCTTTCTGTGTCCTCATACTACTTGGTTGTCTATTCAATCTTCTCTTGGGCTGATCGACTCCAGTGTGCCGATTCCTGACTGTGTTCTTCATAAACCTTTGTGAGGTTGTTATACGCCGCTTTTTGCCTTGTCTATTTGTCAGATTTCTCGGCGGTTAATACCCCAGTGCACTAGCAAACCAAAGGGAAGATCGCCTATTCTGAACCCATATTCTTGCATAAGGCTTCCTTAGCGAGTTCCAAATCAATTCAGTCATCTGTGTATGGCTTGCGACGTTAGCTGTCGTGATCCTAATGTCTCTTAGCAGAGAACAATCCGCAGTTGCTTAATATCTGCATTTTGTTCTCATTTTTGTGACTGACGTTTGGTCAAAGTCTTCTGTGAACTTAGCCCTTTCTTGGGCAACTGGTCACACGAGATTCGATCGGGTTGACTGGTAGGTTAAGACAACGGAAGAGCTTGTTAGCTTCTGGCAGATATATGTTACCTGTGTTAAGAAGTCGAGCGAGGATAGAATGTCAAAATTGGAATCTACATTTGTGCCAAATTTCACAGTAAACAATAAACAAGTGACCTTGTCACATTTAAACTATGGTGAAACGAGAGCCCGCATCACGTCATGCTACTCGCTGTGGATATCCCAACCCAGCAAAACCTTGTTTTGAGTCTGTTAAATACACACCTGCAGAAACTCAGGATATTGGATGTGTCATAGCTAGGTTTTATTTCAAATGGCATATGGCTGAGCTAAAACAAATGCAAAAAAATATTCCAACTTGATTTACACTTCCTATTGCAGAAAGCCCCGTATACTTCGGGAACACTAAGAGTTTGGATGGCCCTCTCTTTGTACAAGCTCACTCGTCAGCCAATCAGAAAATTGCTACGTGGACGCCTTCAGAACGGCGGCTTCACTCTGGGTTACCCAGCTGGTGAGCTTGAAGTCGGCTTGTTCCTAATGCATACTCTTTAGCTTACTCATGAGTAGTTAGACAATTTGGGACCGATTTACGGGCGACATGGATGTGAGCATGTTACCGAGGATGCGCCTGTGATACATTTCACACAATTGGAATATGTTCTTGATGGACCATCATTTCCGGTTTCATTGCAGAAGTTGAAGACTTTCAGTCAATTGTTCAAAATCTAACTGCGATGCTCGCTTCGGTTGCTGAACAGGTGGAAAAACAAAAGCTAAAGGTTAGATTGGCTTGCGTTGTATCCAAACTTGAACGCCCAGGCAATCGTGTCGAGAAACCAGTTGGTTTCAGCGGCAACTCAGCGTCAACTGGAAAAACAGCAACTTGAAATTGAAATTCAAAAGCAAAAGGACGAGAATGATCGGTAAGTTCTACTGATTTTTTGGTATACTTTCTGTGTGCTACGTGAAAGAGAGAAGTGACAAGGTTCAGCATACCAAAAGGAATCCGAAAGTAAAACACCTGTTGCGGCACTGAACCCTCGTTTTCTGATCACTTTTGGCGAGTTCGTTTGTGAGCCTCCTCCGATTATGGTTATAGGGAATTTGTTTCAGAGACCTGAAGACATTTTCGCCAACAAATACCAGACCTCGGGATGGTACAGCAACATAGCTCGTTGGGCTGTTTGGGGCAGAAATTGTTATATGACTGGGTCGAATGCGTTTCTGATTCAGCGCACAAAAGCTGCCCTGTCCTTTATGATTCACGACTTGCCTTGTTGATCGAGTTTGCATCACAAGCACTGGAACTCCCTGGTTTTCTGCAGTAGCCTTCAATCATTAGCTTTTATCCTTGACTTTCAAGAGGATAAGATCCTGAGCATAAGATCCACAGCGTCCATTTTCATCGCCAGGGAAACTCTCAGGAGAAAAGGTACAATGACGTGGATCAGTCTTTCCACTCAAATCGACCACATTTTTTTCTTTTGAGAAATGAGAACACTGTCGTCCGTATATCATCATCATTATCATCATCATCATCATCATCATCTTTATCGGCGTTATCAGCACCGGAATCACCATCGTGGTCATCACCATCAGCGACAGCATAACACCAGTGTTCAAAACCAGTGTTTCGCTGCCGTAATTTGCAGGACTTATATGGTTGCACTTTGGCTCGAACACTGTCATGGTGCTCATACCTAGATAAAAGACGATTAGCTTCCTCGACCAGTTTGACTGAAAATGCAGGTGCACTAGCATTTTTACGGATCAAGTCACCACACATGTTTCCACCATCAACCTGAAGGCCCAGGAGAGTGTGTTGGTCAGACCTCTAACCATTGACCAAGCTGGTATAAAGCACTTTGCAAGTCTCGCACGGACATTCCCAGTATACCCAAATAGGTCACGAAGGCATACAACCCGTCACATCACGTTAGGTTCCGGTTTCTTTGTGGCGGCAGTGTATCTTACCATTCTTTTTATGCAGCCTTTTTTACGAACCGCGAACGCTAAACACAGGGCGGAATGTGTGATCACCGTTCGCATCATATGAGCCTTACACTATTTTTCACATGTACTGACCGTTTATCTCAAGCGTTTTGTCATCGGGTTACTCAAAAGATGCTCGTTTCTACCCAACACAGCTGCGGTGCAGCTAGGGAACTTAAATCGCTGTTTCTGTCGACTATAGCACAAAGGCGATCCAAGATTTGCCATTCCGTTATCAATTCCTTTTAGTTTACCAGTTTAAATTACACCCATCCTGAACATGAACCTTCAAAATTATTTGAGCGCAAATCGCGTTTTATATGACCACACTGATATGTATGAACTATTCATACGGATTTAGATAGCATGTCCTGTGAACTTTTTGACAGCTCTGTTGCAAAACCTGACAACTGACTAAAGCCTTGATTTTCGTCACCGATGCTTTCACCCATTTTCGCCCATACTGGTTTCTTCATTGGTGCAGAGGAAATCATTCACCCTCTACGACAGCCTCTTGTGTCTTGCTAGGTCTCAGCAGTTGGAGGGAGCGTCGCGAGTATCAAAGGTTGGAGAAGCATAATTTGATCATTTCTTCGCTGACGTTACTATCAACAAGATTAAAATGGCTTTCTAGGGTCTATACAGTGTATTCGTATTTCTAAAGGGCACGATTGCCAAACCGCTTGACGCGTGCGGTGCGTGGGGGTCTTGATTACTCTTGTTACTTATGCTTTTTAAGTAGTTAAATAAATATGCAAAATTCCCACTGATTTCGAGTGCAATTGCTCAACCGCAGTCCACATGCCATAATTTCCTAGTAGATTTCTACCAAGTTCCACAGTATATTGAGGGATCAGATGGACCATTTATTCGCAGTTCATCCGATCCTTCCATATCTATTTGCTTGGATGTACTTGTTAGAACGTGTGCACTGACTACAGTGATCAGACTGGTGGTGGGGACCGAAAGGACCAGCCTTCAGCATGGTTCTCAGGGCATAATGGGTCAATATCGGTACTATTTCTAAGGGGGTTGTGATTATCAGTCAAGTGGGACAGGTATTGAACCGGTAGAGAAGTTACCGCTTCAGAAAAAATTTCATTGGGGGTTTCATCCTGCGAGATCGCAGATTCGCATCTCTTCAGATTGCGTACACGGCTGATGGTTCCTAACAAGGAGTGGGTAACTATATGATGCTTGTCGGTTTATCAGCGCACACTCACTTTACTTGCGGAGTGGAACGTCCATTGAAATGTCAAAATGTCTACCCTAACGGCTTGTTAAAATGGCGTGCTTGGAAACATTTCGGTCTTGGCTCACGTGTATACAGAATAGTGATCATCAGCCAGACCGCAGTGCTCTCCGAAACTAATTTATTTTCAAATGCATAGCAACTGAGTTGCCGTCAGGCGTCATAACTAACATTTCAATTCTCTTGGTGCTTTTAGTAGTTTAGTCAATTTTGGGCAAACTGAACGTTCCGAAGTGTATGGAATATGGGTGGTGGGAAATTGAAGCTAAAATTTAACAGGCAGAAGTGATATTTTAAACTGTTCGTCTGTGGTGAATGCTTCATTGCTGTCCAATCGAGTCAGAGGAGTCAACAGAAGAGCATAAAAAGTCCAAATAAAACACCAACAAACCGGAGACCAAGTGGACTTGATTCCTGGTGGGCTGTATTTAACTACTGATGTGATTGCACCATCCATCAACTACATTCCAGGGATCGTATCAGCGCACATATACCCGAGACCTCAGGATCACTCCAGCCAGCTGCAGTCGCAGTTATTTTAATGAGTTCCGTCGTCTGTCGTTCTTCACCTAATCCATGGGCTGTCTGAAAACCCGATAGTAGTCACGGACCCACTCCTGGTACAGTTGATCTTCGTTCAGTCCGTGTTCACTCTTCAGTAAAGTGCTGTTGTGTCAACATCTGCTGTGATCATCACCGCAGCATCACCCCAGCTACCCAATATATCTTGTAAGCCATCCAGTCAGGCCATATTCGTGTGCTGGAAGCGGTTTAAAACAATTACGGGGACCTAATATCTTCCGCAGCTTCGCAGGTCAGCGCTAAACCAGTAGGATTGTTGTGGCAGGTTAATTTAACTTTGCGAACATCATTATCATCATCATCGACAGCATAATATCAGTGTTCAACACCGATGCTTCACTGCCGTACAACCATGAGTTATTTGAAAGACTTATTGTAAGGAAAAGAGTAAAGGTGGACGAAGAAGGGACTTACTGCTAGCTTAACACAATCATTCCGAGGTGCCTACACCTCCAGACATTCACTCAGGCAATCTGGATAGAAACTGACAACAAGAGTGCCACTGACATCGGTTGGCAGCCATATCTTGTAGTGTCTCCAACCAGGCATGGTAGGGGTCACGCGATCCCCATCCTGAAAAGTGAGTTGTACCGACAGTATTCAGGCGTTTAGTGATCTCCTTCATACTCTTCTGCCAAGTCAAGAGTTGGCCACCTCTCTGTTTTCGCCTCTCTGAATTGGGCATGGAAAACAGCACTCTCTTGGGCAAACGATGGTTCGGCATAAGCAGTACATGTCCCAACCAACGCAGCTTCTGGTGCTGGACACATTCTTCAATGAAAGAACCCGTTACACAACCGAAAACACGCTTTCTAACTGCCTCGTTACGGATTCGCCGAGACCAACCCACACGTACTTTGAGGTTGGTCGCTAAACAACCAGTCGAGTTTGGTCGGGTGAATACTTATCCATAACAAGGCCACGGGCACTTTCACCTAGATTGTAGGTAGCAGTTTCGTGCTCCTGTTTTTCATCTAATAACTGTGCAAGACGGGGCTCGAATGCGATCTCACTCGTGCACATCGAAGTGTTCAACACTGCATTCCACCGGGTCAAGTTAAGAGATTCACTGCTACCTGTCCACAGTCGATGACCTAAGGGAGATGATGCCGTTGATTTTAGATGAAATTTGTGCCTCTTCGTCAACAGCGCTACCGCCACAACCAATCGCTCGCCATAGTCCCTTTGTCATAGTGAACCAGAATAGGCCGACTGACAACCGATATCGACAGGATGATATTGTAACGAGGGGTTTAGCAGGAAGTTCGTCTGCGCAGGCTCATGTGTAACAAATAACGAACGTGTCCATATAACAAGTGACGTTATGACAAGGATATTCTGGGGGAACTCCCCCTCCACCAATTTGTGTGTATCCCACAGGACAGGGTTCCTTGTGAAAGGACTTTCTCGGACAAACTAACATTGTGAAGCACACGAGGAGCTCTATCGTAAGCAAGGTAGCGACATTCCTGAATCGGGAAAGTGCTGGTGGACTTGGAGCAACTCAATCAATATCGTAACCTGTTTAGTGCACTGACCAAATTCCGATGCACGTGCATTTGTGGTCCGACAAATGCAATAGGCATAGCTTGCTTATGGAGAGGAAATTCAACCGAGAGATAGAGTGTGTTCAGTGAGTTCCATTAATTTATTGGTGGATCTGCTAATCTAACCGCACCGTCTGCTTGGAAAGTGGGACAACTACTCGTACACTCTTGTGTCTCTCCAGATATTTTCGCTCCTAACTGAGCAATACGGACATGTGAGCCAACGCCTTTCACATTACGGAACCCATTTAAATTAATCGAAGGGGTACTGCAGTTGCTATCCCCTGGGTATCGGTAGTAATGATGATGATGATGATGATGACGATTATGATGATGATGATGATGATGATGATGATGATGATGATGATGATGATGATGATGATGATGATGATGATGATGATG